ATCTCAGCCCATGAAAGCCAAATGGAAAGGAAAACTAAATACTCAAATTTGTTTATACTCGCAGAAAAAAAAGGGAACCAGCATGGAAGGTCATTGTAACTATAGCCCGAGCGTGCATAAGGAAGAAATATTTAATAGCAATGATAACAAATTTTCTGATAAACTCCTCTGAGTAAAGTGAACTGGACTTACCGTGCAGAGGAGCACTCATAAAAACTGGAAGCTGTTTTGAAGTAGGATAGATCAGAGCTCAAAAGTACTCTCGATATAACCACTTCTAAGTAGCTACCCAGCATCAAGAAATGTCGGGCAAAAGAGGGCAAAAATTGCTCAAAAACCGACGAAAATGGTTAAGTAGGAGATTCGCACGCAATCGGTCGTCTATGTTGGCGCAGTGCCAGCGTAGGTCGATCAAGTAGCCGATCAAGATCAAGTTATTAACAAACGTGGACGAGTTGCCCTGTACACGACACGCATCGCATCAGCGGACTGAGGGTGTCAATTACTGCCGATGCCCCCCAATGGCAATCCGGCCGCGCCGAACGACATACACCCGCTCCACTTTTGTAAAGCGGCAAGCGCTGGCAGTCAGCTGACCTGCAGCGCCCCGAAGTGGTGAATCTGGCCGGCGAGAGCTCTGCCAATCGCCGCTTAACTGCTTTGCCTACTACTACGAGAATAAATAGCTTGATCGGATTCCCTTGTTAGAAGGAAGAAGAGGAAGGGCCATCACAATTCGTTCTAGGACAACAAATAACCCTACTATGCAAATTTACACCGAATTTGGTGAGAAAGGTGGCGGCGCCAAACTGGCGCCAATTTGGCGCCAGCGCCGAAAACGAGTGCTATATTCGTGATCAGGACACCGAATTACCTCTGTGGGCAAAGGTTTCAGCAAAAAAACCCTTTTGACTTTTCGAGGTAGTACTAGTTGTAGTGCCGTTGTACTGTTTAGTCATCTACGTACTTATGGAACATTTCAACTTGTTAATATTTCATAGTTTTGGATTACTTTGATCAATTAAATTTTCGTACTGTTTTTTACATACTCGGATTTTCTACGAAGCAAGTTTCGCTATACAGGCCTCAGTACACTGACATTGCGCTGTGTAATGACTGCCTCTCTCATTACAGCCCCACTTCGACGCCCAAATACGACCCCCCCCCTCCCTCTGTTGGGGAATCCTCAACGATGATGCTGTGCCCTGCCTACTCCTCTTTAGAGACAACCTGAGTCAGTGCAAGGCCGCGACGCGGCCGCCCGCAGTCCGAGAATGTTTGCATCGCATTTAAGTCCTTCTAAACAGGCTTTACGAGATCACAACTTTTCTTGAGTACTTAGCAGGTTCCACTCATGAGCGCTTATCCCTTTCTCATTTCTAGGCAACTTCCTAATAAGTCGACCATTTTGAACCCGTTATTTTTTTCACCTTATTCCTTGAAAACATATGTTTAGTGAGTAGTTATCCGTGAAAACTGCATCCTGTAAACAGTGAAAGTCACTTAAGTCAAGCTCATGAACGTTGTGAGTCCTTAAAGAGATTCTTACTAGTCGCGTAGCCAGACTTTAGTTATTATGTTTTGCCGTCATTTCCCATTCTCCTATACAAGAAAGATTTGGCCAGGGCACATCATTAGTTGGGGATTTTGGTCGGGACCGTACGACGAACGAATTGTTTCCTACAGGCCGGCATGGGCAATTTGCCAACAATTTGCGCCGGCGCCAGGTATTCGTTGCGGGACCCTACGTCGCTAGCTCCGCCCTGCCCCAATCGATGCGTGCAGTCCTCGATTATCGCTTTTAACACAAATTACGACTGACGTAACCAGCATTAAAAAATACGACATA